CTCATTTAGAGGGAAACCAATCTGGATCTCAGTTGATTTCTCAACTCAGACCCCCCCAAATTAGAATGTCTTGGAATAATATATACCGAGCTCTGAAAGAAAATGGATGGCAGCCAGACTACTATACTAGCAAAATTAAGCTTCAGAACTGATGATGAAATAAAAACTTCCATGATAAGTAAAAGTTAAGAATTCACAACTAGAAAATGTGCACTAAAAACCATACTCAATAAAATATTTCAAAAAGAAATGAAAAGTAAAAGTGAAAACCAGCAGAGAAGGGAATTATACTGAAAGCATAGCCAAAGGAGACAATAACTCAAATTAAAAGCCAAAAATGACAGGGAATAAAAATTATTTCTCAATAATACCACTGAATGTAAATGACCTAAACTCATCAATCAAACGACATAGATTGGCATATTGATTTAAAAGCAAGACCCAACAATATTCTGTCTCCAAGAGACTAACCTCACAGGCAAAGACATCCACAAACTGAAGGTAAAAGGATGGGGAAAAAGGTATATCATTCACATGGATCTCAAGAACAAGCAAAGGTTTCTATCCTCATATCAGAAAACGAAGATTTCAAGCCAAAGTTAATCAGAAGGGACAAAGAAGGATATTCTATACTGCTTAAATGAATTTTAAATCAACAAGATATAACAATTGTAAATATTTATGCCCCAAATGATGAAACATCTACATTCATCAAACAAATCCTTTCAAGTTCAAGAATCAAATAAACCAGATACAAGAATACTTGATAAGTTTAACACACCTCTCTCATCACTACACAAAAACTAAAGAAAGGAGCTATAGAAATAAAAATATAATTAATAATGTACACATAACGTATATAAATATTACATAAAATATGTATCTCATATATCTTATTATCTTATATATTATCATTATGATGTATTATATATATATATAATATATATATAGAATGACTAAAGATACTCTTACTGGCAGTATATATATATATATATATATATATATATATGATTTTCTAAAATAACCGTATCTTAGGCCAAAATGCAACTTTTACAAAACACAAAAAAATAAAGAAATGCCATGTATTCTATCATATCATAATTGAATGAAATTAGAAATCAACAATAAAATACAAAATGGGAACAACTCTAAAATCTGAAGACTAATACACTATTCAATGATCAATGGAGAGCAGAGAAAACAGGAATGAAATTAACAAAACACTTAGAGGGAAATGAGAATAGCAGCAAAAAATGAAAATCTATTGACACTATTAAGGCAATTCTAAGAGGAATGTTCACTGCATTTAACTTGTTCATTAAAAGAATAGAAAGTATCCAGATAAATAATTTAACTTTATATCTCAAAGGCCTAGAACAAAGAACAAATCCACAACAAAATTAGAAGACAGATAATAAATAAAATCAGCTGAAATCAATGAAACTGAACCAACTACAACAGCAAATAACAATTAAAAAGTACCAAAGAAACAAAAAGTTAGTTCTTTGAAAAAATGAATAATATTGATAAACACTTATCCATGTTAACCAAGAGTAAGAGGGATATAACAAATGATTAAAATTTTTGATGAAAAAGGAAATATAAACATGAACACTACCAAAATAAAGATGATAATCAGACAATAGTTTGATAATTTATACTCTAATAAAATGAAAAACATTGGGACATCAATTTATTT